TAATATTATAAATCGGAAAGTGAGTTTGTTTGTTTGTTCCGCTTTCACGCCGTAACTACTAAACCGATTACTTTGAATTTTTGCAGATGTATAGTTAGAAGTCCGGATTAAATAATAGGGTACTTTTTATCCCGGAAAAAAATGATATTCCCGAGGGAAAACAAAAGTATTGGTATAGATGGCGCTGTGTGTATTGGTATATGTCACATTGGCTTTTTATCCTTTTGTGACGCGAGCGAAGCCGCGGGTAAAAGCTAGTACATTCAATAAAACCAAAAATCAAATGATACTTGTAAGTACAATACACATAGCTTGGTCCCAAGCAATAATTAGCCTAGAGAATTACAGATTATATCTCCCAGCATTCATTGGTACCCGATAACATCGTGGTAACAACGACAGAATCGTGACGATATCGACCAAGTTCGACATCAAAGTCTTTCTCTCAAAACAGAATCTTAGCGGACATTTACTAGTTGTTATAGATAAATAAATGTCAATAATTTTAACTCTGTAATTGGTTTTGTTGTATAATAACACTGTTATTTAGACTTAGCCTTAGAGTCAGTTACAAGTAAATTTGATTTAAAATTATCTAGCCTTTAAGTGCTGGTAAAATATCGAATTATTAGCCATTACACTCGTGACAGTTACAGCTTGTAAATTAAGACGTTGTGGGATTAAGTTTGTGGTGCATTCAAGACTTATGCATGTAGTCTTTAAAGAACACGTAGAACAATGCTAATATTTCAATAATCAAAAGATAAAATCATTTATTTCAATTGGACCAGGAAGTCACTTTGGACGTCAAAAAAAAATTCGATTCGGGTTGTGGCGACACATGGTACATTCTAACGGATGACGTCATAAAAATCCTACATCGCACATGCGAAGTTTACATTGGATTTAACACGGATAGAAAATCCCAACGAACAACTGTTGGGCAGAAAGCCCGCCAGGCACGATCACCTCGCCTGGTCGGAGGATCCTCCTTTTCCGATCTTAGGGAACTATACTCTCTGTTCCCTAAAGGGTATTAGGGATTGGGGAGACTAGCGAGGGGGGTAATTGGGCCTCAGATATCCTCACTCACACGACGAAACACATCACAAGCGTTGTTTCACGTCGGTTTTATGGGAGGCCTTGATATCACTCCGGTCGAGCCCGCCCATTCGTGCGAAAGCATTGGTCTCCCACACTTACCTAACTCTTGCAAACTTGTTGAATTCTAACAACTGTTTTACAAACTAGCTCCTCCCTCTTTTCCAATACACTACAGCTAACAATAACATCGTTTTCACCAGTTTCAATACTCTAATCTGAAAGTTCCGCGTTTACTAAACACAGGCTCCATTGACCATAGTTTGGCTTGGACAGTACTCATTACGCATATCCAAAATTGTATTTATTGGACTAAGTTTGGTGAGGTATGCACTCAGTTTAGACCGCTCGGCACGTGCGCCTGCAAGGTACTTGCAATCAGCTTTAGGGTACATGTAAAATATTGAGATACTTTGACAATAATTATTAACTTTTAATACTTAGATTTCAATTCATATTTGTTATTGTGAATGACATGTAGGGGAAGTCCCGTAACGCCGGACGGCGCCTAACGCCGGACAGTTGGAGTACCTCGACAACTGATAACAGGAGCGATTCAATTTTTACTATAAATCTTAGTTGTCTGCCACTGGGAGGCTTCCCACTAAAAATTTAATCGCTCGCGTTATTAGTTATCGAGATAACATAAGTGTCCGGCTTTAGGTGCCGTGTGGGTGCGGCGTTAAGAGACATCCTCCTAAAACTGTGGCTGGAAGAACAAGAAAATTACATAAATTTAATTGTGTAACATGTATTTCTAAGCATACTGACAGATGATAGACAATACTATTGTAGCAAACCTATTCAAAACATTAAATGAACACACGTTACTCCATATGTGGAACAAAAGGTTAATTAATAATATCAAAAGCGTTTTCATACACACACTCGATTAATTATGAGTCAAATGACATCAGTATTCTTAAATCATTGCATATACTATGAGCTTTCGCCGCATTATCTAGGCATCTGGGCGCGAAGACAATGGCGCGCGCATGCGTAATGCGTTATCTCGCATCTACCTCTTGCTACACTCTGCTCTCCTAATGAGGAACGGTGTTCCACTTCTGGTGCAGTGCTAATTGAAACTAGACTCAAAACCAAACTTTGCTAAGAGAAATTTCTATTTGGCTAATAAATGCTAATTGATTAATTATCACGTTTGAAATCGTAGGTACTCAAAGGTTCCCTTTGTTTCAGGTGGAGTAATAACGGTAGCCGTGCCTCCCAAAGAATGAGGAATAAGCAACGATGCTGGAAACGCTGCTTTGGCCCCGACACACAGAAATCAACAGGTAGGTCTACTTAACAAAGAAATTCCATTCATACTTTATTTTACGACTTTGTGGAACAGTGGAAATAATTCAGTAAGATAATGTGGGTTTTTGAAACACAAATCACGTATAACCTATGGAGAAATTGCTGCAACACGAACTAATCTTGGCACATGTTCAAGTAAGGTATCGATATGTGGATGGGAAATAGTATTTCTATAGAATTCTTATAGAAAACAAAGTACCTACCGACTACCAACCAACACACGATTAAAGTGAACATTGAATATAATATAAACTGGCATAATACAAATTAGACCAAAACCAACATTCAAGTTACCTTGTAACATAAAACTATAACAATTGTAACAACCCATTAAATGTACAACATTAGCTCTTAATCAAAACGTTTTAGTGTTTATTTTAAGAGGACATAACGGTGTGTCGTTAGTGGCACATATTTTGATAATAGTGTCTAAGTCCCGCTAGCTCTCAATATAAGTCGATAGTAGAAATAACTTACGATATATTGTGGAAATTGGTCCATAAACTCACGTATGATTCCACAGAATTGTTTCTTGTTAAACTGCAAACATTCGCTTGTCAAACAATAAAAGTATAATAGAAATTGTATTGGATTGTCTTCGGGATTTATTTCTTCTTGGTAAAGGGCTTTCAATTTGCTTTTCTTGGTATGTTTACTTACTAATCGAATTTCTTGGAAAGAAACACAATGTACAGAAAAAGATGATTGTCCACGTGACTTTTATGACTGACATTTTAAAATGTAACATTCCTTTATAAGGATAATGATAGCTAAGAGGATAAATTGTGTGTAAACTGAGACAGTATTTCCTTCTCCTCGCAGTGAAACACACACCGTGTAACAATGCATTTGCGCATTGTCATATCCCGCCCACGTAAGCCCGTATAATTTCACGATTTAAACGCACCGCCTTACGAAATACATCTAGGGGAGTGCGACGATAAATAACCAACAAATTACTCAGTTCTCGCGATACGTAGTACACGTGCGACGGTGACATTTGCATGCCTGAGAAATGTTTACAGCTTGTTGAATCTACAGTCCGTAGGAAGTGAATGAATGCGGCGGGCCTCGGGCGTTTAATCAAAGTGCGTTGTGTGATTCTGTGTCCATACGCCAAAATATCATGATCTTTACACTCGCTTAAAGTAACTAACCTGTTGATTTCCTTTGCAAAGTTCGATAAACTTTGAATTTCACAATTAAATAAAGTTTGCCTTTAATCGACTTAATGGCTAGTCTACAGACTGTTGTCAACGATTCGAAGAAATAAACAGCAATTTGTTTGAACGCAGTGATCAAATTTGACGTTCACCAAAAGTTTGCTAAATAAATTAACAATTACGGCTTTCCTAATCATTCCTATTGTTAGCTTCGTGTGGCTGTTTAACTCACAATTGAATTATACGAGTAATTCCGGATGGCGCTGACTAGATGTTGACTGGTTTTCGAATTGCGAATTGGAATGAAATGTGAGCCATTTCGTTAGCAAATAGCTCTCGCAGACTGCCGGGAATGTCGCAGCTCGTTCCGAAGACGATTTGGCTTCCAAAATGTGGAATAAGATGGCAACCTCATAAAGTTATGAACTCTTATTGTCAGATAAACGATGAAATGATTGTTTTGTGAAAGGTTTCAATCAGTTTTCTTTGAAAATATAATAAAGTTTGGAGTGTAGGAACGAATGTAATGAAAAATATTTTATAGTTTATTAATTTGTACTTTTTCTTAGGGTTTTTGTCGCCCAATATTTAGCCAGCAATATATAAGGAAATTCATACTTTTATGACCTTAAACACATTCCTAATTCCGAACCTAAGATAAAATAAACCCAATTTATAATATACCATGGTCTTTTGCAACACACAGACATAAAACGAGAAAACATTACAATTAACGTAAACTTAAGACATAAAGGTAAGTTTTACACCATTTAAACTAGCTTCTGTTACAATTAGTAATAAGGAAGAAATTGCAACAACAAGGTTACTACTAGTACTTAAGTTTAATAGGTACTTATATATTTTAGCGAACTATCTATAAATTGTTTGTAATGTTAAGCACTAACTGTTTGACATAAAATTTGACGAATGTAACACCGACTTAATAGCTCATTAAGATTGAAAGCTATTGTTAATACTCTCATTATTACTTAACTATGAATACTCAAATAGTACACAGTACTCATATTTCAGTTGGTAAACAAATCACAATAAATCTGGTTTAAGCCTACACAGCTAGCCAACTACCGCATTTAAATTCCAAGCTTTTCAATAAGTCTAAAACTTAACGCCTGCCAGAATCAATGAATTGTCGCATTGAACGTTTCGAAACTTACTTTCGCAATGTTTTATCTAAATAGATTTACTCAATAAAATGTCTTTTAATAATATCTAGCTTTCTGTCCAAGCGTTTGCCCAATTGGTTAATGTAAAAATAAAAGCCTATATCATTCTCCAAGCCTCTTGACGATTTTAAATACAAAAATAACGACAGCATAACATAACATATCACCACGCCTTTTATCCCCGAAGGGGTAGGCAGAGGTGTACATTACACCACTGTACAATGTAACACCCACTTTTCACTATTTATGTCATGAGTCCCATGTAATAGGGGGTGAACCTATTGTCATATAGGTACTGTGCAGATACAAAAATGATAGTACAAAAGGCTCCATTTTGATATTAAATATAGACAAACAAATATTTTTGCATTAATATAATTCTATATTATTTAAGATTGGATTCTTGTAAGAAATTCAGTTAAGATGAAATCGTCAGTTTCTACGTAATCTCGTACCAAAAGTATGACGAAACTATATGCTATCGGAGGCAATAATTTATTGAACGTATCTGATTTATCCTTATTGGTTTATTGAAGCTAATCCTATTCAGAATAGATTGTTGACAAGATGTTTCGAAATTATCTTCGAATGTGAGTGATAGGTTTATGAAATTCAGAATAAATAGAATTATGGTTGTTCAAATACCTTTTAGAGGCAAATTCTGTACCAAGCATAGCTTAATGAATACCAAATTTTTACAAATATAAGCTTTGTGTTCTAAATTTCAATTCGAGGATAATGTATGCAAGTCGTATCATTTTCCTCTCTATAAACACCAACCGCGACCAACTACATTTTAATCAAACAAAACCAATCATAAATCTCAGATAAAATCTACTTGCACAGCGATAAATTGCGATTTTCGAGTGAAGCTATTATTAAGTAAGGCATTTAAAAAGAATAGAAACAAAAGTGGTCCCCGGGGCAAGGAGCAATTAATGGCGAAGAGATTAACCAATAAATCGAAGCGAGCTTGCTACGGTGTGCCGGTGGGGCGACAACCCAACGACTTTGAAGTATGAAGGACTACAGAGCGTTGAGCAAGTTTCTGTTGTGTTCTAGAAATTTTGAGGGTCTAATTCACGTAATGAGTCAACCTAGGCAACCAACATTTTATAATGATGACAATGTGACCTATGCTTGCAAGGTATAGAAAAAAATCCAATAATTAAACTGAATTTTTTACTACCTAATATGTGCGTCCAATTCGTGTTTTCGTGGTTAATCATCAAGCTTTCTCGACTTGAACAAAGTTTTTTCCTTGGCAGTCTGAAACTGCAATTATACACAGCAAACTATTATTGTGTTCGATTCCTTTTTTTTAAGCTCAGCTACAGTGGATTTGAGAGCTAGTACGGGCCAAAGCCAAGTGCTAATCCACATGGATGTTTCAGTTTTGGGTTGGGGTGTACGAAACTTTGTCGGTTTCGTTCAAAAATTTTCGAACAATATGGCAGGTATTCAAAATGGCAGCTTTTGGAGGATTCGGCATGTGTATGGAGGTAGATTATTATTATGAAGCTTTTAAGTAATTACTTCATATTAAAAAATATTCTTTTATTGCCAAAGGTCATCATGACTTCTATAACTTAATTCATACTCGTAATGACTGTCGCATCCTCGCACCACCGTACCGCCGTAATGACGCCCGATAATCGGAGACATCCTTCCCGGGACCTTTGAGCTCGTTCCAAAGGAATTTTCTATATTTTTGTCGAGCAAAAAATTGAGAATTTTAACAAGGGGCGCATCAAAACCGCGCTTGCAAAGCCATTAAACTGGAGTGTTTCTAGATTTATACAGAAGGCACGGATAATTGTTTAGAGTTAAGTTGTTACGTTTCAAAGTAACGAACGACGGCATCTTTATTTCTTTCATAAATATTTCTAGAAGATTCCCCGATAACTTCGTACATTCGTTTCCGTTAGCATCATAATTGTATCGTATATAAAGCAGATACGGTCTTAACTATTGGCGTCGCCCAATCTTAACGTCAACGGAAACGATTGTTCGCAAGCTATACCAAACTCACTTTCCATAAACGACGGATAAAAAGTGAAACATTCAATAAATTCTCCGCTATAAATCGTCCTATTTAATTCGGAATTGGTGCGTTATCGCAATCTTTTCGATATTTATTAGCGATTCACCTATCGTTGAGTTTTTTGCGCAAGTCCTACGGTATTTTCCATGTGTAGTCAATAATCGTGACAAGCCTAATTGACTAACGTAGCCTGAGATCAGGCGGAACACATGCAAAGCCGCGCTTGTCACATCGATTTACCGCATAAAGCCCTCCGTGCAATGCCTAAAACGTCCTTCCGTGTAAACTGGTTGCTAGACCAACGAACTGCCAGGGTTCCCTTTTCTGTACTTTCTACCAGAGCTGCATAAGTGCAGGGATGCTGCCGTAATTATTATGATATAGAAACTGTGATAGTAAACTGAATCAGATTCCGTTCTAACCTAACAAAAACAAAAAAAACAAACAAAATTCTTAAATCGAAAATGTTGCGAGACCCTATCAAGATTTCAGTATCAATTCCAGAGATTTCTACTAAACATTCGCGCTTACAATACCTAAATGAACCAATCAAAATAGACGTATAAATCCTTTGTTCTTAATTA